CCTCCCCCCCGGGCCTCAGCCTGCCCCCCCCAAATCTGGCTCCTCCTCCCCCGTCCCCTGGCCCCCTCTGCCCCACATCCCCTGTGGCCCCGCGCCTGGCCCGGCCACAGTCACCTGGTCTGCAGCCTCATCCCTTTGGCAGGTGGAGAACCTGCTGCCCGGGAGTTTCCCACAGCTGGATGTGACGGTGTTTGTGGTGGTGCCAGACGTGTTCCTGAAGGAACTATTTTGGTTGCCTCAGGGCGTGCAGACGGTGAGTACGGTGGGGAGAAGTGGAGACCAGGCACTTTGCACAGCCCCCTAGTGCCCGGGTGGGAGACGGGCACAGCTGGGTCCTGTGTGGCATAACCTCCCTAGTGCCCGGGTGGGAGACGGGCACAGCTGGGTCCTGTGTGGCATAACCTCCCTAGTGCCCGGGTGGGAGACGGGCACAGCTGGGTCCTGTGTGGCATAACCTCCCTAGTGCCCGGGTGGGAGACGGGCACAGCTGGGTCCTGTGTGGCATAACCTCCCTAGTGCCCGGGTGGGAGACGGGCACAGCTGGGTCCTGTGTGGCATAACCTCCCTAGTGCCCGGGTGGGAGACGGGCACAGCTGGGTCCTGTGTGGCATAACCTCCCTAGTGCCCGGGTGGGAGACGGGCACAGCTGGGTCCTGTGTGGCATAACCTCCCTAGTGCCCGGGTGGGAGACGGGCACAGCTGGGTCCTGTGTGGCATAACCTCCCTAGTGCCCGGGTGGGAGACGGGCACAGCTGGGTCCTGTGTGGCATAACCTCCCTAGTGCCCGGGTGGGAGACGGGCACAGCTGGGTCCTGTGTGGCATAACCTCCCTAGTGCCCGGGTGGGAGACGGGCACAGCTGGGTCCTGTGTGGCATAACCTCCCTAGTGCCCGGGTGGGAGACGGGCACAGCTGGGTCCTGTGTGGCATAACCTCCCTAGTGCCCGGGTGGGAGACGGGCACAGCTGGGTCCTGTGTGGCATAACCTCCCTAGTGCCCGGGTGGGAGACGGGCACAGCTGGGTCCTGTGTGGCATAACCTCCCTAGTGCCCGGGTGGGAGACGGGCACAGCTGGGTCCTGTGTGGCATAACCTCCCTAGTGCCCGGGTGGGAGACGGGCACAGCTGGGTCCTGTGTGGCATAACCTCCCTAGTGCCCGGGTGGGAGACGGGCACAGCTGGGTCCTGTGTGGCATAACCTCCCTAGTGCCCGGGTGGGAGACGGGCACAGCTGGGTCCTGTGTGGCATAACCTCCCTAGTGCCCGGGTGGGAGACGGGCACAGCTGGGTCCTGTGTGGCATAACCTCCCTAGTGCCCGGGTGGGAGACGGGCACAGCTGGGTCCTGTGTGGCATAACCTCCCTAGTGCCCGGGTGGGAGACGGGCACAGCTGGGTCCTGTGTGGCATAACCTCCCTAGTGCCCGGGTGGGAGACGGGCACAGCTGGGTCCTGTGTGGCATAACCTCCCTAGTGCCCGGGTGGGAGACGGGCACAGCTGGGTCCTGTGTGGCATAACCTCCCTAGTGCCCGGGTGGGAGACGGGCACAGCTGGGTCCTGTGTGGCATAACCTCCCTAGTGCCCGGGTGGGAGACGGGCACAGCTGGGTCCTGTGTGGCATAACCTCCCTAGTGCCCGGGTGGGAGACGGGCACAGCCGGGCCCTGCATCACACAACCTCCCTAGTGCCTGGGTGGGAGACGGGCACAGCCAGGAGCCCTGCAGTGCAACCCCTGTAGCAAGGGGCTGGGATACAGGACCCAGGCAGGGTGTGACAATCTGATGTGCCACGCACACACACTTCATGTGACGGACTTTCCTGGGATCCCCTTGCTCCCCCCAGGATTCCAACGTGACCTGCCATGTTCGCAAGGACGCCCACAGCCCCTGCTTCAACCATGCCCAGGTAGGAGCCTCGCTAGCCTGAAGGCCTTTACAGGGCTCCCTCGCCAGGGGCCGAGATGCAGCCACCTCTGGGGCAGGGCATGGGGACTGTTGCTACAGGGATTCCTGGCCTGCCACTGAGAGGCCGCCTCCTCTGGGGGGAAGATGCTGGGCTATTTGTGCTGCATGCAGTATGTCATGGGGCCAGGACACCAATGTTAACAGCCCCACCCTTGGGAGACAAGCGTCAGGGAATTTTTAACACCCAGGATCTGGAGGCGAGAGCGCCCCCTAGTGAGGGCCCAGCCCGGCTCGCTGCAGCACAGCACCCCCTAGTGCCACACTGGGACATTGCAGCGAGCTCTGACTGCGAGGGGCCAATGCCTCCTGATGACCCTCCAACTTTCATTCTAAGCCACCCATCCTGGCACTAACCCAGCCTGCTCCAGGTAGCTTGTGAAACCTGCCTGGGTTCCCCGCTGCCAGGCTGTGGCCCGTTGGCACTCGCCCATTTCTGACTTCAGGAACTTCCCTGGTCCCTTGGAGAAAGTGGTTGTTGTGACCCCATGTCTGTGCCCCCACGTCAGCTCTCCAGAGAACTCCCTCCCCCCTGTGTGCTTCTTCCTAGAGCTGCTTGTCCGCACAGCAGCAAATCTACGAGTGCCGCCTGGGAGAACTAGACACCCCCTCCGTCATCACTGTCACCGGGCTGCTGCACGATGCCAGCGAAATTCAGGTCAGGGCTCTGTGTGAGGGGCCTATGGGGCCTTTCTCCTCTAGGGGGCGCCGGGGTTTCTCCAGCCCCCGGTGGGGCTGCTGGCTGGCTCAGGACAGGACCCCCCCTCAGGAAAGAAACGGGGCTACGGTCTCTCTTGCAGCAGGGCGGAGTTTCCTGCTCTTCCACCTCTCTGTCGCAAGTCACCCCACAGGCCAAACTCCCCATCTCTGGGGTGGCCCTTGGCAGGGGACAGAGCACCCGCAGGGTGAGGTGTGATGCTCCCCGAGGTGCCAAGCAAGGCAGAGAGCCCCACTGAGGCTGCCCCCCGGAGGTGGCATGGACCCAGCTCTCATCTCTGCCCCGGGAGCCCCTCCCCCCACGGATACCAGCTATGGGGCAGGGTGTCTGAGGCCTGGTGTCTCTCTCTCTCTCTCCCCAGGAGTCCTCCCAGTCCCCGTTCTGCACTGCCCTGTGTTTTACATTCAACACCCACAAATACAGCCTGTTGAGCAACGACTTCATGCAATCCCAGGTACCACGCCCCCCCCCCCATGCATTGCCCCCCATGAGAAG